CGCAAAACTGGCAAGGGGTACCTGAAAAGATCTGGTCTTTGATCCAGTGAAAGCATCCCACAGAGTCACTGTGCCTTCATAATCACTGCTGGCAAGTAAACCTTTGTGATACGAGCTCCAACAGATCGAACTGTGAAACAAGCAAACAAAAAAAGTACATGAAATTTCTTGACCAACAAAGCAGCTAATATTGCACTAGTTTCAAAAAACCCAAAACAAAAAACAAAACAAAACAGATGCAAGACCAAGAGAAAGCAAAAATTCTTTCTGCATATTTTTCTGTTCTTAATTCTAAGAGAGACATGGCTGGATTGAAACTGCTCATCCAAGGGCACAAATTTAATGTGTATCAACTTCAAATTCTTCACCTCACCTGATTTTGGAATTGCACACCATTTCATTCACAGGACAATGAATATCCACCACATCTCTTATCACCATTCCATACTCAAACACCTGATGTACCAAAAGAGAATATAAAAAGGTTTGATAGATAAGCAGTACTTATCATTATATGAGGTGTCACATCTTGTGAAAGTTAAATTTGAAAATGAGATTTCAATGAGTGATGTGATGTCATAACGTAAGGTAAGGGGATTGAAGGTGAAAACCTACACATGCATTACAGGGAATTTGTAGGTGTAAATAAAAGTGCCAGCATGAGCATACAAGATGATCCCAACTTGGCCTGCTAGAGATTGCCACTTTAATCCCAGCGAAAAATCCCTTGAAAGTCAAAGCTCAATTCTTGAACTTCACTGATAGAGTTCTTCTGTTTCAGGAAGAAAAAGTTTTCAAAAAGATTTTTGAAGAGCAAGGGTTTCATATTCATACTGGGTTCTGTGAGGGTTATGAGGCTCAGATACAAAGATCCCCCTGAATTGCTGACTGCAAAAGATACTCATCAAAAGATGAGAGATAACAAAAAGAAGGGTTCTTTGCTATAATGACTATTTCTGAAATTCTAAATGTACTAAAATAAGCCAGAAATAAAATAAAGTGTGATAAGAGTACCTTGATTTTCTTTGTAACCCCAGCAATGGCAAAGTAGTCAAAATCACGGTCAAATTCAATGCTGTATGTTTGTGGAGAGAATAGAATTATTGAAAAATATATATGTACATGTATATACAAACTTTAACTACAGATGATTTCAAGAAACATGGAAAGGCATTTAGAAAGAAACAATAAAACAAATTAGAATTTCATACTAGATGTAGGAAAGTTACAATCTATTCATGGAAGCATTTCAAAATATCTTGTTTCTTTTTTGATAGTGACAATAATAACAACTGAAATGGGAAGACTGGGGTCACTAGTAAAGGCACCTTTAATGTTTTACCATCATTTGCTGACAAATACATCTTAGGAAACAAACCTTGATACTATGCTTGAGCTACTATAGATGTCAGTGGCATAACTTAGTGTTGCCAGGCAACGAAAACCACTGAACTTTGTAAACTTGGCTAGACTTTCTGTGAAATAATCCAGGGCATCTGAGGTTCCCGCATCACCTGGAAACATTCAGAAATTCAATACCAGCAGTGCAGTCTCATCAACTAGGACACAAGTGAAATACAACTGGGAAGGAATTGCAGTTTACAGATGTACAAGAGAACCCCGCTAATTCGAACTCAGTTAACTCAAACCCCCTGCAAACTTGAACAAGATCTGATTTCCCTTGACCCAATTTTTCAGTTATTTACTACCAACTCACCCAAACAATTTTTTGTTTTCCTTGGGAGTTTGAGTTGGCAGGGTTCTACTGTATGTGTTTTTGTGGATACCGCTGGTTCCTATAAATTTTTTTTTATGCGAAGAGAAGCTGTTTAAGAGTAAAGTACTTCACCCAAGAACACCCACAATGGCCAAATCTCAGCTTAGGGTTAGGTCTCGCAAACTGGAGTTCAGAGTGCTAACCATTGTGCCCCTATGGTATGGTATGTGGCTGCAAATACATCAAATTTCACTTTCTCACTTGGTAAATCTCCCTGCCTAATGGAAAAGTAGCATCTCTCTAGATCATCAAAGTGTTGGTGAATTCTTTTCCTTCTTGACGCTAAACTGGTGCTGCACCAAAGGTGTTTTGCTCCGTGCTGGCTTCCATTAAACCCATCTTGAGCCCCCTCTGTTTGATCGCATGATTCATCATGACTGCAAGTGGACAGGTATTGCATTACTTTACACACACTTATAAATAAACACTTTGGTTCAATTAATTTTTTTTCTTGCTTCCCAATGTTTCAAAAAAGTTCAATTAAATATTTTATACACAAAAATAAATATTAAACTAGTTTAAAAAATTTAAAAGCAGGAGAGGAAATTTACCACTTAACAGATTAATTTAATATTATGAAATGTTACTGCAAGTTTCAATCACATGTACATTCTAAAGTTTAGAGCTAAACATATGAGTTTGTTTTAAACCTTACTCAATCATCATTGCAACAGCAAATTACAGGAGAGACAAGAAAATGAATTAAGATCATTTAGTCAGTATGCAAGACCTTTTAAACCTACAGATGCAGTGCATATGTTTTTCAAGAGTTCCATGCATGATTAATGCAGCCTTTAATGATATTTCTACAATTCTACAGGTTCAATGTTACTGGCAGCTACTATAAAATACTCAACATTTACCAACAGTCAATAGTAAAACCTCTATAAATAGTTTGTCACCTAGTTGAAGGTTCCATATCTGAACCCACTGCCACTGGGGCATTTTTAGCTGTCGGTGTGGTAGGTACAGCATGATCCTGAAGGAAATAAACAGTTTATTCATATCCTGCTCCTACATGTCAGCAATGTTTTTTTGGTTATCTTGTCCTGAATGAAGTATGTCATTAATGTTTCACTACTTTTCCATAGAGATCAGTTGATATTCAAAAGATAATCGTCCACACACACAAAAAAAACAATTTTGACACATACACAAGCCTTGCTTAATTACTTCAAATTGTAAATGTACAAGTGTGTGTATTGTAGCAGTTTTCTTAACCTTACAAATACCTCTTACTCTTTTGCAAAAATCTGACCCTTCTTTGGGTCATTTACACCATACTAACTGTTTGTGGAAACGAGAACCACATACCACTTCACCAGCCATAAGTCTCTCAGCACCAGGGAGGAGAGTTAAGGGAGCTGGTTTTGAATATTGCCTGTTGTGACTTGCTATCATTTCCTGAAAGATTGTAGAGTAATTATTATAAGCCTATGAACACCAGTCTATTGATATCAAGTTACTGCTGTCAGTAAATTTCTTATCTGTATGCTTCACCAAAACCTTTTGCATTTATACAGCAGTAGTAATGTGGGTTAATAATTGACAAACAAAAAAAACAAACAACATTTGCAATTTCACCCTGAGAGTAGATTCTTTCCCCCTCTATGGAGTTCTCCCCTAAAACCTGTTACAACTACTTCAATCTGTTCTGAACAACAGACCCAAACTTAGAGGTGCACTTTCACTGTGTACCAAACATGGGAAATAAGCTGAACTCATGTTTCTCTTACTGAAACTCTCTTCATGTCTTCATCAATTAGTTTGACTTCTCGGGTAAGCTGATCAAGTTGCTATATTTCAAAGGAAAAAAATAGAAAAACTCAATAAGGTTGGGCTAATAATTTGTCTAACAGTAGATGCACAAACCAAGCATTTTAACTTCTGAATGATGTTAATGATTATAAATTTTTTTTAACAAACTATACCATTGAATGCTCCGACAAACATCTTCATGTGAATGTACATATAATTTGACTGCATGTCATGGATGGCAGTACCATACCTCTTGCTTGTGTCTCTTTACTTGTGAGAGGAAATCTTTCAGCAACTCATGTTGTATTGCTTGGCTATCCTAATAGTTACATTAAACAAAAGAACTTCAATGCAATCTACATTACATGATCACAAAGAGGCACTCTGTTTTCTGTCAGGTGGTTTTAGAAGGTCCCCCACCAACGAGGAAAAGAAGGGGCAAGGGAAAGGCTGTGAGAAAATTTTGTCTTTGAGGATGCAAATTAACAGACAGTTACTTGTATTGACTAAATTGGCACCTGTCCCTGAATAAACTTCCCCTTTGTCAGCCAAATTTTAAAATTGGTGCCATCAAGTCAATTGACACCAGCTTTACATATTCAAACCATCCTTTTTATGACCAATTTAATCTCAGAAATATAAATAGGTGTACCAACTCTGAAACTATTCCAATTTAAGCATTGCTTTTATATTAAACTACAATTTTGTAGTTTTTTTTACACAAAAAATGATCATACCTCAAAAAAAAAAAATTCCCCCCCCCCACTCCCTCCTGTCATTTCCTACTTCTTAAATACATTTCCTGACCACTACTGTAGTCTGAGAATTTAGATCATTTTACACTTACTGCTTCTAGCATTTGTTTCTTCAGTGTCAAAACTTCCAGCAAATAATTGACATCTGTAACAGGAAAGGTAACAAAAGTCTCAGAGAGGCATCTTCACGATGAACATAGGGATACAAGTTATCTACCAAGAAGTGGATCTGGGCCATAACGCTGATAAAAAAATTATGATTTTATTTCATAGCTTGCCTCCAGCACTGAGAACCAAACTTAAAGCATAGAAGAAAAAAGAAAACAAAAAGTGTCCTACACAGAATTTCATAAGAAATTTTACCCGCTAAGTCCCATTCATGTTGTCCTGCCAAAAGTTCCTGCAGTCCACTTCCTGCCTCATGTAGCTTTGTAAATAAAAAAAAATTCACCAAACAGATAATGGGATTACTGAAACTTATTAGGTAGAGGTTATCTTGATCCAAAATCAAAGTCTTGTAACTAATTTAAAAGGAATTGTGGAGCAGCTAGTAAGGAGAATTTACAATCAGATCTTGAGAGTTACAGTGTTAAGGAGCTGTCA